CCCCCCAACCCCCCACCAACCCCAGGGCCACACTCAGGCTGCGTGTGCCTGTGGGGGAGGAGCAGGAGTCACAGTCTCCTCAGAGCCACCTCCGTGGGACTGCCCGGCCAGGGAAGCAGTGCCCACGATCTAGCTATGGTGTGTGTGTGTGTGTGTGTGTCCATGACTCCAGGCTCATAAGCCTGCTCTCAGTGGGACTGATGAATAGGGCCTAGAGGGTCCCAGGACCCTCCTCGGCTAGAGCCCATCTTCTCCTGAGTCTGAACCTTTAAGAAGCAGCCCTAGGGGTACTCAGTCAACCTCTGGGCCAACCCTCATTGACCAGATGGGGAGACTGAGTCTCAGAGCCCAGCTCAGGGTCTCAGAAAGGGCTGGGCAGTGCTGGAACTGGAACCATTGTGTTAACTCCTGACACTTGAACCACCGGGCTTATTTGAACCACCCCAGAGCTGCTGCCCAGGGGTCTCCCAGTGGACCCTGTCTTCTTTGTCTGATGCTCAGGTGTCCACCAAACTTCCCCTGGAAGAAGCCACAAGTTAAGCAGGATACCCTCTACCTCATTAAAAGATACAGCACCAGCCAACTACAGCTCTCCCCCGATAAAGTCCTAAGGGACTGAAAACTTCCAAGTTGAAGGCTTCAGAGAACCTAGAGGCAGAGAGCCTGCTGAACAAACTGTACACGTCATTCCTCATTAACCTCCATTGTTCCTTCTGTCTTTGCACCTCTAGCTCCCTCAGCCTGGAGCACCCCACCCTGCCTTGCAGCCCAAGAAATTCCTCCTCCTACTCTGTCTTAACAGCTAAAGCTCAAACATCATCTTCTCGGGGAAGCCCTCCTTGGGCTCTCCAGAGATGGCTCCTTCCTCTCTGCTTCCACAGCCCCTATGTACGCTGTAGTCATAATGAACTAAGCTAACCCTCACTGAGCACATACTTTGTTCCAGGCACAGTTCTAAGTGCTTTACATGCATTGACTCACTTCATTCTCACAGCAACCCTATGAGATGGGAGGTGTGTGCTGTTAGTATCCCATTTTATAGATGGTCACACAGCTCTAAAGTACAGGAGCCAGGCAGGCAGCTTGCCCAGATTCCCTGCTAAACAGTGTGTGTCATAACCAGTGACTTGTCTGTCTCTCCTACAAGAACGAAATCGTTGAGGGCTGGGGCCGTGCCTCCTTCATCTCAGTATCCCAGGGGCCTGGCAGAGTGCCTGGCAGAGGATGGGCACTCAGTGGGTGCTAAATCAATCAGTGGCTAGTGTGCAACAGAGGAGAGACCTGGGATCGATGGACCAAATGTCTGAAGTCATTTGGTTATGTCAGTTTCAGCATAAATTCTAATAGCCAGTGGGTGGCCTTGGGGGGTGGTGAGCTCCACATCAGATGCTGGATGAGCACCTGTGTGTCCTTATGTGTGTTGCAAGGGGATGTTGTGGTAACTGCCAATGATCTGTGACCCTATAAAGTGCTTGCTGCAAACTTGGTGCCTCAAAGCCCAAGGCTGTTGTCAGTGTGACTCCACCCATGGCCCAAGGTAGGGTCACATTATGACTTCCATGTGCTCCAGGCACTTTGGCCTTTGTGGCCTCTCTGCCATGAAAGTACTATAAAAATTACATTTGATAACTGGGTTGGTATAAAAATGAACATACTAATAGTATATATTAAAGCATTTTTTTCTGCTGAAAAGTTCATTTTTCTTCTTCTGATTTTCAAGAAATGAAAACGTTTTTATGGGTCCCTAAAGTCTCAAGGGCTTTAGGCACTAGGCCTCCTGTGTCCAGTGGAGTCAGGCCAGGGGACCTTAAAGCATGCACTGAATTTACGTAAAAAGACCAAAAAATGGGGGAGAGCATATACACATGTTTATATACACACAGAGTACCTCAGAAAAGACACAAGAGAAACTAGAAACAGTTTGTGGCTCCAGGAAGGAAAACTGGGTGGCCAGAGACGGGGTGGGAGGGAGGTTTTACTGTATACCCTTTTGTGCCTTTGGAATTTTGTACCATGTGAATGAATTCCCTATTCATAAAAAATAAATAAATAAAGTTTAAATGGGTGGAGGCTTATTCCAAAGCAACAGGAGGCTGTTCAACGAAGGTGGAAAAATATGGGCTTTGGAGCCAGAATTGTGGGGTTTAATCCTAGCTCTGCTGTTTCCAAGCGCCTGATCAGAACAGTGAGGGAGGCTGTGGTGAATCAAGCAGCTTGTCACCAAAGGCCCTTGGCTGGCCCCTCCTACCTCTCAGAGCCTCAGTTTCTTGTTCTCTGAAATGGGGATAATAACACCTCCCTTGAAGGCTGCTTGAGAGGATTAGCTGTGACTTCTATAAAGCAGTGGGCACAGCACTTGGCCCAGATCTCCCCAGTTGCTCACTTTCTCCCCTCCCCCTCACGGAGTGAATGTGGGACAGTGGCTGGGACTGTGAATCGCCTCTTTCTCTGGCCGGCACTTGTTTATTCAGGCCACTTTCCGGGGGCTGGCCTGTGGCTGTGGGCCTCCCTCTCTGTCCCTATTCTTGACTGGCTGGCTCAGCAGCTGCCTGGCGCCTTAGGGAAACTGAGGCTCCAGCTACTCCAGCAATTACAAGTCCTGTCACCTGCAGGTGCGCTGAGGCCAAAGACAGAACTTCTTGAAGCTTGGAGGATAGAGGCTGCCAGATATCACATCTTGGAAATAAACTTATCAAAATGCCACTCAGAGGGTGGCCCATGCTTGTTAGAAAGCCTTTTAGGGGAGGGTGTAGCTCAGTGGTAGAGCACATGCTCAGCATGCATGAGGTCCTAGGTTCAATCCCCAGTACTTCTATTTAAAAAAATAATTAAATAAGTAGACCTAATAATCTCTCCCCAACCCCTGCCCTCCAAAAAAACTAAAAAGAAAGGAAGAAAGAAAGGAAGGAAGGAAGGAAGGAAGGAAGGAAGGAAGGAAGGAAGGAAGGAAGGAAGAAAAAAGGAAGGAAGAGAAGGAAGGAAGGAAGGAAGGAAGAGAAGGAAGGAAGGAAGGAAGAAAGAAAGAAAGAAGAAAGAAAGAAAGAAAGAAAGAAAGAAAGAAAGAAAGAAAGAAAGAAAGAAAGAAAGAAAGAAAGAAAGACCTTGACCACTTCTGGCCAATTTGAGATCAATCAGTCAACATTTAGTGAGTGCCTACTGACTGTGTGCACCCCATAAGTTTCAGTTTCTCAAAGAAGTTCAGGCTGAAATAGCTTCCAGATTCACCAACAACTGACTGCATTTGGCAGTAACTAAAGTCAGCCAAAAGAAGAACTTCCTCTAACCAAGAATGGGGGGCTAGGTGCCTAATCAGAAGTGAGGCCGGGCAAGGTGAACAGAGAACCTTGTCACCAAAGGTGGGCTATGTCCAAGTTCTGATACTGAGGTGCCTGGGGGATCCCTGGATTTTCAGGTGACTGCTAAGACTGCCTGCTAGGGATGGGTCCCCACAGAAGGGCCACGGGGACTGAAGGGGCAATTCTGCTCTTACCCCTGGCTGTGGGACTCCCTGGAGGCCATATGCCTTCTGGAGGTAGAGGGATTCCATTCCCTCGAGAGCACTGTGGCTGAGAGAAGTCCCAGGAGCCCCAAGCAGAGGCAAAAATGGAACTTGGCCCCATGGAGAATTCCTGGGAGGGAAGTGGAGCTCAGAATAAGCCCTGTTGTTCTAGCAAAGAACAGGGAGATACCTGAGACAGGGGACAAGGGACGGATTCTAGAGCAATAAGTTCCAACCCCATCCAGGAGATGGAGGGGGAACCCTCTGCCACAGGGACCCTGAGTAACCTCAAAAGGACTTTCATTCTTGTCTGTCCAACCAGCCTTTGGATACTTCTGGCCTCCTGGGGGTGCAGAGGGGTTAGAGTGCTTAGGGGTTAACTGCTTTACCACTTGAGGTGTGTCACCCCAACTAGCCTAGGTAGAGAAAAGTTCCTGAATGAGCTGTGCATGTCCCCATAGGGGACAATTATGTGTATTCAGCCACTCTCACTGGTGGGAAGTTCTTCTGTAGGTCTGACTTAATTCATATTTGCTATATAACCCAAGGCTGTTAATCCCCCAAATTAGACATAGGAGCAGCTTCTGTGTGTGACCATGGCTCTGAGGCATTTGACAGGGTTGATTAGAATCTCTTGCCTAATGCCCAGAATTCTAATGCTGAAGGCTTTGGAGACAGGCAATTCTGGATTAAAATACTGGCGGTGCTTTTTCTGGCTGGGTGGCCTCAGGCTTTAGTGTCTGGTACACAAACTCTTAAAAGATAGTAATTAGTGTTATTTTATTACAATCATTTATAAAAGCACTTAGCAAATAGTAAGCACTATAGAATTGTATGTTAAATAAAATATTAGGGAAGGAGGGATTGTAATATAAGAAGAAGACTAAGTAGGAGTGAGTCATGTTTTATGTTTTTACAGATCCCCAAGGAAGAATTCCAAAACCTGCCTTGGACAGCCCTTAAAGCAAATCACCATCTTGGTGGCAGTGTTCTCTGCTGTCTAATCTGATTCCCTCCTGCTGCAGCTGAGGCCTCAGTTTTCCAGGACTAGCTGGTTTGCCCACCTCAGTCCTGCCCTCTACCCTGGGCTCTGGGCTTCCTCCCATCTCATACCCTTCCCATCCAGCCCCCAAGGGGGAAGGTCCACTTACTGCTTGGGTCCATGGTCCTGCTCACAGTGCCCATCCCAGGGGCAGGCAGAGGAGTTGGTGCCTGCTGTGTACCACCGGCCCCTCTCCCCTGCCAGGGCTAGCAGAGCCACCCCGGGGCGGGGGCTGTGCTGCTGCAGCTGGCCAGGTGCCCCACCTCGCAATGGGTGGGCTTCAGGGAGAAGCGGGAGGGCCACGTCAAAGCCGGCCCGGAAGGTGTCCACTGTTGGGCTGGCCTTGGCCACCATTGCCTGCCCCAGCTGGACAGTCTGGGGGCAAGGGGCTGGGTGGAGATTGAGGACCAGATGGTTCCTGCCCCCATCCCATTGTGCGGGCACTGGCTCGCACTGTCCAGCCGGGGTGTCCGAGCTGAGGAGGAGGAGGAGGCAGGCCTCGGCAGGGCTGACCGTGTGGTAGTGGGAGCCTTCAATGGAAGCCAGGATCCTGCGGCGAGTCTCAGAGATGGGTCCAGCTGCCGGGTACACAAATACCTTGAGGCCGCCATCTCTGCACTTCGAGGCATCAAAGCAAGCTCCCCAGTTGCAACTGCCACCACGGGGTGCTTGAGGAGGTTGAGGGCCATCTTCCAGGAGCTCCCCAGGCTGGGAGAAACTCTGCAGGAGCTCTGCGTCCAGCCAGCGGGGCCAGCCTTGGGGAGCCCTTGCCCGGGGTCTGGCAGGCACTGCCAGGCGGAGAAGGGGAAAGACTCCCAGCAGGATGAGGAGCCAGGAGGCCGACAGTGCCAGCCAGAGGGACTTTCTTCTCCATGACTGCATGTGGCCACCCATAGCCAGGGCCACGAAGCAGGAGGAGCAGGGGCGTGAGGGTGGGCCTCTGGGGCTGGGATCCACCTTCTAGGTCAGTGCCTTCATTGTATAGATAGGAAGACTGAGGCCCATCAAAGGCAGGCTGCCTGTGTAAGATGAAATAGCAAGTCACAGGCCAGGCATCGGGAGGCCACGTAGGTCCCAGCTCTGTGGCCCTGCCTTCCTGTGGTCAGGACTCTGCTTCCTTGGCTTTTGGACAACCAAGCCAGCCTTTGCCCTCCCAGCGGGGTCCCCTGCCCCTGGGCACTGCTCAGGCTGATGCAACCCCTGTCCAGACTGCAAAGCAGTGTCCTTCTGGCCTCCTGGCTACGTCCCCTGACCTTGGCCTCAACAGAGAGGAGGGCCGTCTGCCAGGCCATGGGGGACCCGTCAGGGCTCCCATAGGAGGCAACTTGGCCAGGGTGCAGGGCTGTATGGAAGCAGGGCTGGTCTCCCCAGTTCTCCCCCTGCCTGAGCAGCCCCTGAGCAGCCTTGGCCACCCTGTGCCCACTGGCAGGCACTCCTGGGCTGTGGATCTTCTGGCTGGAGCTAAAATTAGACCCTATACCCCATGTGGGCTCCCAGGGTCAGCTGAGGTCAAGGCTTGAGTGCAGCCGGTGGCCCCTGCCTGGGGGGCTGGGAGGGCTCTGGGTCCTGGTCCTCTCCCACGCTGTCTCCAGCTTGGGCAGCTCAGCCTCTCCTCCCCCAACCCCTAGGAGCTGGTCCTGCACCCTCTGGCTTGGAGCTATCAGGGTGCAGAGGCCAGGGACCCCGTGCCAAACCCCTGCCCCATGGCCCCCAAGCCCTGCCGGTGTCTTCCGTCCCCTCTCAGGGCAGCATCTGGCCAGACTAGATCTCTTTCCTAGCGGCAGCCTGGCTCCTCCCCTGCCAGCCCTGATTCGCTCCTGGCTGGGAGGCAGGGTCTCCACTTAACCCCTTCCAAACCAGTTTTCTGGATTGCTAATAGTAATAACCAGCAGGGCCCACACCTCACAGTTGGCCTCGAGCTGTCACAACCTCTGCCTCTGAATTCTCACAGTGACCTTCCAGGTCAAGGTTTATCACTGCTGTTTCCTAGAGATAAGAAAAGTGAAGCTTAGAGAGAGGATGGTATCTTTCTAAGGTGACCCAGCTAAGGAATGGCAGGGTGGGGATTTGAACCCTGAGCTCCTGACCCTAATGCTTAGAACTTTCCACTGGTCAGCCCAGGGCAGGGGATTTGCTCCTGGCTGGGAGGCAGGGTCTCCTCTTAACCCCTTCCATCCACAGATGAGATAAGTCAGGTGGCATGTGGTTGAGAGTGGAGGGTATTGGGTAAGGTGCCCCAGCTGTTCCCAGGATTGGTCCCTCTTCCCTAACCCCCCACCCCCCGCCAATCTCATCCAGCTCCAGCTTTTCCAGGCCCATTCCTGGCACTTTACACTCAGGGGCACTGCTCTGCCCTTTCCTGGAGCTCAGTAGGAAGGGTCTGCAGGGCTGGGTCCTTACTACAGTCCATATAGGAGGTTCTTCCTGAGGGTGAACTGACCCTCCATAAGTCCACACCCCACTGAGGGTTCCCCCGATCAGTTCTCGATTAGTTCTCAGGGCTGTGCTCTCTTAGGGGAGTCAGGAATGTGAGGGAAAATCAGCCATTAACAAAACAGATAAGTAAAATATCTCATGTGACATTTGGCAATAATGCTCCGGGGAAGGGGAGGGTCTACAATGTTAAATGTTAAAGGCAGGCCTCCCTGAAAAGCTGACATTTGAGGTGAGAGAGTGAGCGGAGGGTGTTTCTAGGGTGCAGTCACTGGAGGCGGGGGAGCAGCCAGGGCACAGATTGTGGGTGAGGAGAGTGCCTGCCATGTGCCAGGCCTGGTGGACCTTGTTTTCATAGCACCACTCAGACTCCAGGCCAGAGGCTGACATAGCGGCAGAGATGGAAACAGGGAGCCTTGTTGGGCCAGGTGAGTCACGCAGGGGAGCCGCAATGGTGGTTTGGACCAGGATGGCAGGGGCAAGAGAGGTGAGAAGTAGTTGGATTCTGAATCTATTTGGAGCCGGGGCAAAACGACAGATTTGCTGATGGATTGGATGTGAGGTTTGGCCTGAGTCACAAGCAGGAGGGAGCTGCCATCAACTGAGATGAACTGAGAGGGGAGCTGATTTGGGTAAGAAGGTCAGGACTTTGGTTCTGAGACTAGGAGTTGTGTCCCACTCACCCTTCTCATCTCCAGCATAATAAATGTCCAATAGATGCTTGTTGAATGAGTGAATGAATGGATATGGACAAAGTTGAGAGGGCTAGGTGGCCAAGGCCAGCTGATGAGGGGCTTGTGGGGGGACACTAATCCTGTTCCAGCCTCCCCACCCCCAGCCCTGGGCCCCCAGGCTGGCTGGTGCCCACGCCCATACTGGCCCTCTCCCTCCTTTCATCCCTGCAGGGGGAGCTCTCAGGCCAGCTGGGGCCTGGGCTTGTCTGAGTGAGTAACACAGTTGCCCTGGGGCTCAGATGGAGGAAGAGAAGGCATGGCATCCTGGCAGGCAGGACTGTACTGGGCTCATCCTAAAAATACATCTCTGGTCTCTGCCAAGGCCTCCGGGGCCTCCATCAGGTTCTTCAGGGCTCATCAACGCCTCCAGGAGTTCCATCTCATACCTGGGCTCTGATCAATGGGACAGAAGCCAACACTTTGCAGAGAGGAAGCAGGACAGGGCAGGAAGGCAAGGTGGCAGTGAACAGGAGGAGGAAGGAGAGGAGGAGAAAGAGAGGGCCTGGGGTCTGGTTTCTGGGAGGCTTCTGGGAGGAGGCAGAAGTCTTGTTTCCTGCAGGGCAGGGTTGAAGCAGGCCTTTCTGTGGATGTAGGGACAAGGAGGTGCTCTGGATGGCATCCGGGAGCTTGAGTGCTGCAGTGTTTGTTTCATTGCCATGGTGGCATCATGCTGCCTGGGGGCTGCCTGGGGGCTACCTGAGCATGGGGTTGCTTCCTGTCTGAGGTGCCAAGTGTCATAGAGGCCAAGGTGCCCAGGTAGGAGCTGACATCACTGTGTTTGACCTGAAGTGTTCCCTCTTTGCACGCTGACTCTGCCTCCCTCCCAGCCTTCCCTCTCTGGGTTGGGCCTGAAATCTCCAGAAGGACTGTAGCTAGTCTCCCAGGAGGAGGGGGCCTGGAGCACTACATAGGGCATTTAACAAGCTTGCGTTCCTGTACAAGCAACCTCACCTCTCTGTGCTTCTGCTTCTTCATCTGTAACATGCTAGTAATAGCTCCTTCCTCAAAGACTTGCTGGGAAGATGATTAGATGAGCTCATGAATGTATGGCAGTTAGAACACCATGCCTGAACTTCAGGCACCTGACAAAATGACATCCTCTGCTCCATCTCAGATCCTGGGGCAGTGAGCTGACTTGCACAAGGGACACTGAGCTGTCTACCTGGGTAGATGAGGACCAGGACTTGGGTTTTCCTTCCTGGGCCTGTGTTCTTCCTGCTGCATTCCCATCTCTGTTCCGGAAGAAAGAAGGCACTTGGAGCTGCAGGAGGCAATCACCGTGGAAACCCATCTGCTGCTTCTGTTTGTTCCTCCAGCTCTGAGCTGTCTAGTGTCTCACTGCAGAATTGACAAGTGCGGGGGTTGGAGATTGCGGGGGGCTCTGGGGTCTCAGCTCTCACTTGCTGGAGCACAGATAACCCCAAACTATGGTGAATCCCCACAGGGCCCTGTGATATCAATCCAGCTCCTGCTAAAGTGAGTCTACCCCTCTAGGCCCCCCAAGGATGCATGGCAGTATCCACAGCGGGTAACTCACACCTGGATCCCACCTGTGAGAGGGCCAAGGGAGCAGCCCAGGGGACCCAGAGAGGGGAGTTGGGGAAAGCAGGTCTGGCTAGTGACCTCAGCCAAGTCAGATCCTTTTCTCTGGGCCGTCAATTTCTCTCCATCAGTCTAACACGGTAACAGGGCTAGGCTTTTCAGAACAAAAAGATTGGGAATTCTTACTCAGAAGTAATCCACATACAGGTTGCAGGTTGAACTTTCCCTCTCCCATCCTGTCAACACTTGACTTTGTTAGGGAAAAGTATACAAAACTTGGAAGTGAGGCAATGGGAAGACTGTGACCTTCATCCATCCACTGGAGCATCATCTAACAAGCCCCGAGGGTCATGTGACTCCCTATGTATTAGGATCCAGACATTTTATAAGCCTAAGTGCAAAGATGATAACTCATAGAAAACAGATAACATATACAAATATTTTTGTCCAATAGTGACACAAATGATTTCTGACCAGTAGAGATCACCCCAAGGATTATAGTCATGCACTGGAGAGCATTTGCCAGTTGGGAATCTGACTAGCAATCTTATTTCAGCCTTCTCTGTGCTTTGTTGACTATTACCAACAAGTCCTCTTTGTCCTCCTTTGTCATCCGGAGAGATTTCTCATATGAGTGAGTGAAATGCAACTTTAACAGGTGGTCACTATGTATTTGTATGCTTTTTTTTTTTTTAACACTTAGAAGACTGTGAGTCACTGAGCCTCGTTTCTTCTAAAATGAGGAATTCTCGGGAGGGGCTTACAGATTTGCTGACCATGTGCCAGACACTGTTGAGCTCTTTAGATCTGTGATTTCATTTAAGCCTTGCAGCAAAAATGCCAGGGCGGCTATTCGCCCCATGTTACAGGTGAGGTTAATGAGGTTCAGAGAGGTGAAGCAATTGCTCCAAAGCTTCACAGCCAGTGAATAACAGAGCCTGGATTTGAACTGTGGGGCTCCTTGAATGAGATAACATGTGGGAAAGTGATTGGTAAACTCTACACGTATGCACACATGTGAATAATTTCAGTCAGCCTGAGGCTGCCTTCTAACCAGCCACACCACATGCAGTTCAGGGTCTGGGCTCCCCTCCCCTGGGAGGTGGGCCTCTGCTTCCTGCAGGGTAGGTTTCTGTTATCCAGAGAAAGCCAGAAGAGATTGAGGTGAGCAGGCATCGCTTGTCCAACCCCTTACAAACAGGACACCATCCCTGCCAGAACGTACAGGCTGAGGCTGAGTTTTCAGCCCTGACTGCTCCTTTGGGGCCCATTCCTGGGGCAGAGGTCTGGGGTGGAAGCTGGGAAACAGCAGAGCTGGACAGGCCAAGTGAAGTAAATTTCAAACCCTGATTCTGAAGTCATTCTATGCCATCCTCTTGAATATTTCACCTGAATTAGACCCTCTCTGAAAACTCCAGGAGCCATGCCCAGCCTCCCCTACTTCCTGGAGTCTCCCAGAGCAGCCCACATCCAGATGCTTCCACCTCAGCCCTGGGTGCCAAGGGGTTAATCACTGAGGGCAGCTTGGCAAATGTTTACCTAGCAGGCAGGCTGCTAGGAACTCCAAGTAATTAACAGCCTGCTTTCCAAAGCCAAGGCAGGAAGATTTATTTCACCTCTCCTCCCTCCCCAGGGATGCTGCTTGGCAGAGTAAACACAGCTTTCAGCTGGCTCTTTGAGGAAATGCCCAGAAGAGGGGTAGGAGCTGGGGGCAGGGATCAAGCCCAGAGGTAGGCTCTGAGGAGGAGACGAAAGGTGCTCAATGCCATTTTTCTGGAGTTTGGGCCCCATCTTGGGAGCCTGGCCTAGATGGACATTCCTTAAAACATGATAATTGTTGCTATAATTGTTGAGACCCTTTACATACATCGTCTCATTTAATTCTCACAAGCACCAGAAGGGCGACGTGTTCTTACCTCTGCTCCAAATTAGGAAAGGGAGATGTAGAGGGGAAATCACTTGTCTAGGGTCAGCTGGTGGGTGGTAGAACTGGGACCAAACCTCAGTCTGCTTGACATCAGATCCACGGGCTTTCTAAATTCCCTCACGGAAGAAGA